CCCCCCCCCCCCTCGTGCGCGCCTCTGACTGAGGGATCCGCGTTTCCGGCTCCTTCGCGAAAGACCCCCAGCGGAGACGGAATGCATATCGACCCCGGGGTCTCGCATCGATCACAAGAAAGCGTCCGAAAGCGAGCAGCTTCGAGAGCATTTTTCGACTCATTCCGCCACGATCAGTCTGGTCCCGAAATGCGCTCTCCATGCCGCCTTGTATTTATGTTGACGTGGATGATGAGACAAGAGGTTAGTCAATTTCCACACTCCTCGCTGAATCTAGGGTAATGCATGGAACCCTCTCCACTCGAAGTGAAATTCTCTGATTGTGCGAGTGCCTTTCTCTGTACGACACACACAAGGCTACCAAGTATGGGTCACTTCAAGGTGAGTGCGGATCCGATAGATCCGGTGAACGCCACCAATGGTACGTTCAGAGTGAACGTGTCGATCCACGTCCATAGCATATCCGATCTCGATAATATTCGTCAGGTCAGTCTCTACACCAGAACCATCTATAATAGTTAATTCAGAGATATTGAGTGCGAGCTAATGTCCTAGATGCGATCGATCCGAAACGAAGGGAATTCCGTTTCCAGAAGTTCCAGATGGACTCCACCGTCAGTCAATATTATTTCCTGACTGAAACGGCGGGTAGTGAAACATACGATTACGTTCTAAGTAGAATTCCTCAATCTGCGCTGAACAAATCTGTCTCAGACGGCACATGGGTCGTAGTCCCCTACCCTTACGTAAGGACTTGAAATCTGGCTTCAATTACTGCGACTTGCAAGGGATTTCACTCGGAGAGCATTCCGGGATTCAGGATATCCTGGAAAGTTCTCAGAATCGGGAGTCCCTCATTCAGATCGAAGACTTTTGGAGGCCGGAGTTGCTCTGCATGGAAGCCTCGTCCCTGCAGCTCCAATCTGTGATAGAGAAACCTGTGACATTGTCCATGAAATTGATCGATGGGGCCCTCCTGATGAAGCTGGAGCAGAAGAAGAGACTCACTATCGATTGTGCTGCTTGTCTCAAGTCAGTCATATGTACATCCACTGAGCCAGAGATTATCCATCATCCCATTCATAAGGCATCCGGTTTCGTGATATTGAGCTCTCGTCATATCATTAGCGGTCCTCCCTACTGGTTTCCGGGCTCCTGGACAGAATTGCGAACATCATTCGACTTGCAGGTATTATCCCATGAACGCGTGTGGCTGTAGGGTGGAATGTTTCAACTTGATCAATCCGGTGAGATTTGAGGTTGAAATGACTGGGTGACAGCGACCTGCCTTTCTCAAAAAAGCGGAAAACCGCTACGTCCACAAAATGGCCCATCATCTCCGGAACGGAGGACGTGTTCGTCGACGGATATCATTACCATGCGCTCATTCCCGGGAAGGATTATTATTTATTATGAAGGAAATTAAGCTATCTCTCCAAACGCCGTCCCAGGTCGACGTATTCTGGCAGGAGCGGGAGGAAACGTACGCGAATTCGTTGTGGTTCACCGGAGCAACTCGGCTGATCAACAATTTCGTCTCCTTGACATTTTGTGACACTCGAACGAAACGCTCCGGTCAGTAAGCGTCTCGAGCTTCCCACAGTCCGATTTATCGTTGTCCGGTGAGTATCGCTGATCTCGTCATGAAAGGAGCGTTGAATTTCCAGGTAGAGGGCTCTGCTTCAGGGTCAGCTTCTCGCCGATCGTGAGTTCGATCGTCCTCTCCACATTGCTCCCCGTCGTTCTTCTAGTTGTAGCCTCTATCGGCACCTCATTCATGAGCGTCAACTCCGTGATTGAGCGGATCAGTGTGTCGAGCGTGCTTCTCCAATCCATTCTCACCCTCTACATTCAGGTCATTGCTTGAAATAACAGTCCCAATCGGAAATTAGGTACTTTCTTTAGCAAAGAACCACCGCGCATGATCTGAGCTTGTTCCTAGCTTACCAGATTTCTAATCGGAGGCTTCAATTCCGGAAACAGTCGCGGTTGAGCATACCCCCCGTTCCCCATATCACTGTGATTGACGTCTTCCTCTTGGTGTCAGCCTTTATCGTGATCTTGACCATTCTACAAAGTGTGGCGGTGAGAATTCTCGTCCAACGCAAAGCTCTGTACGACCTCAGCCAGCTCAGTGAGGCGACGCCTCCACTGCGCGAGAAATGCAACGCCGCAGGGGGATCGGGCGCGCTGCGACGGAAGTCAAAAAAATCAGCCATCACGACTCCCTTAGTGAGAACTTTCTTCCGATACTCCCTCAAGGTGGGTTTGTGGCGGAGCAAAATAATCCTTGAATCATCACACGAGATACATTCTCCCGTTCTATCCATCGCCTTGCAGCGCCCACCGTATCCTGCCGCCAAGTTCAACCGGAATGCCAGCCGTGCATTATCGTCTTTTTATATCATTTTCGTTCCTTTGTTCTGGATGTCGGCCGTGTACGTCGCCACACTACCACGCATGCCTCCAAAACCGACTGCCTAATGAGACCTTCCGTGAGGCATAACCTCGTGAATCTAGGGTTATTAAGAAAATTATGATCATTCCCCGACAAGCTATTAAATGTCTCAATAGAGCGCGCTGAATCTCATGATGAAGGCAGGGGTCGACTTCACGGATTAAGTTCCTTTGCCAGACGTCTCCGGTTCTGCAGCGAAGCGCAGGACATTTTCCTCTATGAGCTACGAGAATTTTCGTTTGCGTGAACAGGCTCGTTCATTTGAGAAAAAGAAAAAATATTTCGGCGGAGGGGTGGAAGATGAGCAGAAAAAACATCAACTTGCATACCGGGGGATCATTCCGCGATTCCGCAACCGCCGAATCACCTGTGCGCCGAAATTGGAGGGAGAAAGAGCCGAAAAACGGCTCACAAAGGAAGTGATTAGGGAATTCTTCAGGAGCAGCATTCGCGCTCCGGGACGCCCCGCTCGGGGATTCATTATTTTAATGAAGAATATCGATTTAATGCTTAGTACTCGCATGTATACCCCGAAAGGATTCTGAGCATTCGGACTCTCGCGCATCCACGCGGTCTGAAGACATCGTAGAAGGGTTCCGCCCGGCATTGGGACGTCCTCGCTATGGTTTCAGTGATTAAGAGTCCCTTGAGCTTGTCTATGATGGTAGATGAGAGATGGAGCGCTGCTCGTGAAATTTTTAGGGCGAGAAATAATTACCACGGATTGCCTTGCTTGCCTCCAGTGAAGTATGTCTGTAACGGGTCAGATATACATAGCTTATTATCAAAGATCAGCTCTTCGCAAAACTTAGGCCTCGATTTCGATCTGTGAAGCTCTCACGCTCCAAATATTTCGTGAAACTAATTTCGATTCAGAGGTACTATCTAGCGAGCGCGCGTGACTACTGGGTAAACTGTTTCAATTCGATTCACCCTCAAGGTCTATTTACACTGATACAGGTAAGATTAGATAGGGGCCTGATATGTATACGAAGGGAAAACTTCCGTGTAGTAGTAGTAGTATCTTCACGTGTTGTTAGTCCCCGGAGTCAGCAATATTTCGCTTTTATAATGCTTACGTTTCTTATTGGTGACGCGATTTCACCGAGAATATGACTCCCTTCGGAAATCATGATCCGTACGTCTCTTAATCAGGTCAACGTGTTCTGGCAGGAGGAGGGAACGGAAAAGAGCCTCTTATGGCTCACAGGAGCAAGGCGGCTGAGCGCCAACGCCCTTCTCCTTGACATACAGCACAGCGTGTGCGAAACGCTCTACAGTTCACCCTCTGGTGAAAGGTTCCCCCGGAGAAAAAGCTGTTCCCAGGTTCAACCATGAGCATGTGACGTCTGTAGCCTCCACTGCTCGTGAGTAGATCTCATTCACAAGTGAGGGCTCTATGTCCGACTCAGATTCTCGTCGATTATGAGTTCGACTGTTAAGGGACTAAGACAATTAGCGTATCAAGCGCGCATTTTTCTCCAATCGATAGTCACTCTCGGCATTCAGATCATCGCCAAACATCAGAGCTGTCTTTATTTCTCCGATCGCCCACCAGCGTGAAGTCTCCTTGCGCGGAAGGACCAAAGCTCGCATCTGGAAATCGCTCTCTCTCTCTATCGAAATAGTTATGATTTCTTCCGAGATTTCCGTAAGCTTCCTCCGGACAATGACAGGCGGACGTTTCCTGAACTGCCGCGGACATAGGGACCCAAGGACTCTCGATCCCTTCAATCGGGCGATTCCGCAGACGTCGAGCGCACATCATGAGATACCCGTCATTCACAAAGATCGCGTCCTCACTGGATATGGCCGCTTGACTATCGGCGGTCGGAAGCAGACCGTACTCATCGGAGCTTTGGAGAGCTATGATCAAGGCATTGAAGATCGAGCTCCAAACCGGAGCCTAGCTGAAGACCACGATATATTTTTTCTGCCCTTTTCATTACGACTAATCGGATTCTCAATGAGAATCGAACTCCTCGCACACAAGACGGTCGTAAGAAAGTGACTCTGTTTTCCTGAGGCGACGAGCTTTAGCCTAAACAATTAGTCACGAGCTGACTCATCTCGTGTTGAGCCACTATGTCTCTCCCTGCATACGTATGTTCGATAGACTCGTGGACTTGACCCTCTCCATTTTCCTTTCTCGAAATTCTCTATCTGTTACCCCAGGGCTTTCCGAACGAATGCTCCACTGGCGCCAAAACGGTGTTTTCGTCCATGTTTCGTCTTTCCCATCCAACCCCTCGCTGGATCCTCAACTCGTAGAGCGTTGAGGACGCAGAAGGCTGGGCGAACGATTGCAACGCTCGGAAGGGTCTTTGAGCCTGGGTCCCCTTCTTCTTCAGATCAGGCGCGTGCCCAAGAATTTTCTTCGGAGGGGGGGGGGCAGGGCCATTGTCTTGGTAGGGGCTAACTACCGATGATGATGAGCCTCAACATGGATCTCTATAGGCCAGAAAGAGATCCCAAGGGGGGCATGGCCCCCTCGGCTCCCCCCTGGGTACGCCACTGCTTCAGATCCGCACGTATGGGTGGAATCAGCCTTGGCAATTATCTGCAGGATCGCGGATCCTCCTCCCGGCTTATGCGCTCGTAGGTTTTCGAATCTGCCGACACTGGAGCCGGTACCGTGTACCTATACTAGCTCTGCCCGTAGCAGTCGCTCCCATGGGCCGATCAAGTTCAACTGTCTGTCTCAACTCTCTGCATCCCCCACATGCGCTTTTGCTCACTCCCCCTGGTGTACTACACTGATCGTTCTGTGATCGTCAAGGACCTCTAAGGACGCTCAAATCAATCCGAGTTGCGATGAGAATCGCAATGAGTCGGAATCTCGAAAGCTGCGGCTAATGAGACAGCAGTGCCAATCATCACCGAGACAAGAGACTCGAATGTCAGGCGCCTCGTTGCACTGAGCAACCTCCTTGAATAAGGTAGCTGTATGTTCTGAGACTCGGCAGATAGGCTCGAGCGGGACTCGCTTTGAGATACACAAGCAGATCGGCCCACTATTTGGCTGGACACGACGCCTTGACATTGAGAGCCGGTGAGTTCGTGAGCAGGCACCCGCGCACTCACCAAGTCGTGCATTGCCAGGTGAACCTCGTTCTCTCCCATTGTTTTTCTCGACGAAAGATCACTCACAAGATTCTGCCTTGACTCTATATCTCTGAAGGATAACCGGTTCGGGCGGGATAGAAGGGGCGTTATTTTTATTTACTCACAACAAGCTTTGATGAGTGAACCATACAAAAATATAATCATCTGGATAAATCGAGAAGTTGACGCATTTAGATGTCTGCACCGGTGTGCACTAAGAGATGCATGCCGTCTTGCAGCTCGCTGTGCAATTTGTCCTTATCCACGGTGTCTGGCAAACGGAATTCCTTCACGAGATCCATTTTCGTATACACAGACCCATCGTCGTTCCGCTGCTCATGTGAAGCGCTCACGTTGAGCTTGGTACCGTGGGTCCGAACCTCGACGTCCTCGGGACTGAATCCGCTCAAATCCACTCGGTAGGTGCTCGCCGGGAACACGATATCCTCACGCTCAACGTAACTTCCGCCGTTTTGTATCTTCAAAATGGTGTCGGTATCGAGAAAACGTTCACATTCCGGATAATCCTGAACGAACTCGTCCCACTCCTGAGACAGGTCGTCTTTCCCAGCCGCGAAGGATTCCTGGTCGAACTCCTTGACTTCACAAGTTTCTTTGGCTTCGCTGTACTTCATGAGGGGAGCCATTTTCGCCGGCAGAATGTGCCGAACCGGATGATCGCCGAGCTGCCGACAAGCGAGCACCGCACCGCTCGACTCCATGACGAGCTCTGGAAGTCGGAATGTCTGAACACAAGTGTCTCTCGTTGCTGTATGAGCCTGCAAGGGCGCCGAGAGAGGGTGGTCAGGTATGAGTCAAGGCCGGCTTCTGGCGCGCACTGCGTGATGCAATGTCCCCATTCCTTCCTAAAGGCTTTCTTCAGAAACCTGGATCACTCTCGCGTTGGCCGAGCTTGCCCGACCACGTCATACCATGAGATACCACGCGCTCGTCCCTGGCAGTCCCGGCGATGAATGAGGCACAACAAGAAACCAAGGAAGAAGAAAACTGGAGTTATGGGCTCTCACTCTTGCGAGATCACAACACTAGAGTTCAACGCAGCGTCTGTCGAACGTTCGATGGGCGGATGTCATGGACCCTGCTCTAGTCCGTCTAGACGCGACATGAGGCATGCCTGGGAAATGTTTCTGTTCAGCCGGAACTTCGCGCAGTGAGGAAAATTCGTTCGAAATCGCTTCCTAGAAGCGCTGCTCTCTTGAACTCTAGACCCGAGCACACGGATGCCCATAGAATGCTCTCAGATCCGCCACCAATTGCACAATCATTTTATTTTTAGCGCTGATTCGCTTGATTCGATAGGGCGCTTGCCCGAAAGACATTAGCGCTGGCCCACGAACCCATTCCGAGATAACAATAGCTTTGTTTCTACCCGATCAGCTCTCAGGAACAGGCTCGGGATCGCTTCAAATCATGCCTATTAAAAATTGAATGATTGAATAATTTACTCATTCATTCATTTCCATTGATTACTTCCTCGATCGCCATTTTGGTATTCATCCTGAAAATCATCCATCATTCGTTCGAATAAAATGTCGAACTGTATTTTGCGAACTCGCTTCCACTGCTTGTTGAAATATGAGATCTCTCAATCGGGTGGATTCTACTTTTAGCTCAGGTCCGTGAAACATCCCCACAACCACGAGTTGACAAATGGGTCTGAGCCAATCTTCATACTGATGTTGTCGAAGACTCTGCGAACGCAGGAACTGAGTGGCTCAACGACTCTGCTGACTGACTGGCTGTCTCGAGCCTCAAATCTCGCTTAGGCATGGAATTCGCTTACGCTTCCACCGATGATGGTGTGATTACGACAAACTGAGCGTGGGAAACGATGAAGCTTGCACTATCTGGCCTGTAGCTCGAAAGCCTTTCTGGAAGTATTCCAAGCATGAAGTCAGGCAATGACTACTGATGCCAGAAAGTCACCCAAGCCCGCTGTCTGACAAATAATTATTTTTTCTCACCTCACATTCCACGATTTCACTCAACACGTGTGATTGTTGAGCAGAATTCTCTCGGCACAGCCATGCTTTCTTTTCTTATCTTATTAGCTCATACACGCTTCCGTTGCGCGTTAGCTAAGCGATCTCGACTCAGAAACGGCAGAAATATATTTTCATGAAAATTTTTATTCCGTCGCGATCTTCCAAAGAATCTTAGCTTGTACCGGACGAGCTACGAATCTCCTCCATTTTGGAGAAGGACAAATATCGCTGATGGGTCACCGGCTCCCCAATCGCTTGGAATCGTCAACCCGGTGAGTCCGCGGCAATCGCTCGGCAGAGATCTTGAAACCCGATGCGGAAGAATAGATGATTGTCGATTGCATTGCTATTCTGTCCATACCCACTCACTGCTTTTGTTCATCGGTGAGTTTGCTTTGAAGAACTGCTTCCAATTACGAGAGAAGCAGAGCGAGCTATTTCTTGGATTAGAAGGAGCGTTCCTAAGTCTGCCGTCTCCGATTCCTAATGATCGTGTTTTCCCCCGTTGTCGTGCTGATCGGCTCAACTTTCGGACGGCCGTCCCACTTTTTGATGTTCTGCCTGACCGAAACGAGTTCTCCGGAGGAATTGAAATGAAATCTACAGATACGTCCACATCCGAGTCAGGCGGTCGAACATGTGTTTTCTATTGGCTCGCTTCTTGCTCCGGAAGGCGCTGAATCCACCGCTGCACAGGCTCTGCCCCTAAAACAGACCCATATGCTCCGAGAGGAGTGCTATGAAGCTGCAATCCGAGTTCTGAAGAATAATGCTCATGTCTGTTTGAAATAAAACCCGTGAAGAAGAGGGTGATCGATCCATAGAAGGAGGTATCAAAGCTGCCTCTGCTCCGATTCTAATGTCTGCTCCACTCTCTTTCTCTCCGCTTTTTGTACCGGCAAGGGCAAAATCCTCTCGCGTGCTTCTTGCCTCGTCCGTCCGTCCGTCGATCCATTGGTTCGGTCGCTCCCTCGCTCGCGCTGGCAACATCCCACCAGTCAATAAGTGAAGGGCCGGCGTGTGACGTCAGTGCGCCAGTATTCGTGGATCGCATGTGACTGTGAGCCGGGTACGCGCACTACTCATCTCGGCTTGTGAGCATTTGCAAACACCTGTTCGGCCACCTGTACTGACATGGATGCGAGCCCGTCCCCTCGCTGCTTACTCTCGTTGTGAACATTGTGTAGGTTTTTGTGATCCGTGGAGAACGGGACGGGGATCCCGCCCGAGGTCCAGATGAAGCTCCGGGAAGAATGATGTCGGCGAACCTCAGAAATCGCCCCGCACTCACAATGGTCTTGTGCTTTTGGTTGAGTTTGATGTTGTGGGCGCCTTATGGAATTCTCGAAGCTCGTCCGGCGCTATCGGACGTGCATTCCTCCACGGATTTATTAGAAAACGTCGCGCGCAGAAGTCGCGGCGAATCTTCACCGAAACCGAAGTCGGCGGACCTCCCGGAGAGCGACAAGGTCGATGCTCGCATCAAACGGAGGAACTCTTTGCTACACCAAATCTCAAACGTCAAGGCCTCTATCGATGATCCGGACAATGCGTCGGTGACAACGAGCAAAAAAACCAACGTTTTAGGCAACGTCTTCATTTCGGTGAAAACTACTCGTCAGAACCACCGAGTCAGATTGCCTGCAATACTTCAAACGTGGTTCCAGCTCGCTAGAGAACAGGTGAGCTGTGCTGTACATGAACAATTCGCTTCTGGATGGCGATGTCGTAAAAGTCTGTTGATCTTTGCAACCGCTATATTTCCGGGAGTTATCAGATGCGGCCAAAAATCGTGACTTCGAATTAGCGAAGGAGTCGCATGTAGAATTTGATTGATAAAGTCACGCATTAATTCCGAATGGGAGCGTGATCAACTCCCAACTATCGGGTGCACACCCGAAGATGAAACCTTGAACATCATAATCTAATTTACGCGGCTGAATCTCCACGAAAAACAGAAAAGTCGGCGACACCCATAATGATTCCTTGGAAACGTTGAGCAGGTCGAGAAGAAAGCGGAAATATCCCGGCTGAAGGTTGAATGGCTCGATATTTTTCGTCGTTTCGAGTCCGGAGCGAGAAAAGAGCTGAATTGGCAGAGAGTCGAATAGAAAGTTCTCACGACGCGGTAGAGACTGTCAAGGGTCGGGTTACGTCCCAGAGCGTTCCGACAAACCGTACGGGGAAAACAAACGCAGAATACGGTCTCAGTCGATATGGTTTCCCGGACTGAGTGACTCTCTCGGAAAGCCAACTCTGCATCCCTGAGTATCGACCGTGCCGGCGTTTGTTTTCGTGCTTATCGAGTCTCTGTTAGATGGAACGCAGAGTCGGCTTCGGAGCGGCGTTCCGATCAGGGATCGATATCCCGACTCGTGACAGTCCCCGAGCACAGAAAAACTTGGTGGAATGGGAAATTCAGCTTCATAGCTATTTGAACTCGGCGCTTTCGAAATCTGCAGAAAATTAGAATCTAGGGCAGGGGAGACGCGATCGAGCCGGAATCAACTACAATCTACAATGCACGGCGATCGTCGATTCCGGAGTCGAAAACACCAATCGCTGCTCGGATGAATTTGTTTCCTCCGATTTCTCCCTGGCTCGTGCGGTCGACGGTAGTCTTCTCAAGAGTCGATAATCGCTGATAAGAGAGGCCTGGTGGCCACCACTCGAACGGAGTCTGTAGGCTACAAGACGTGTGCTACTGCGCGAGGGTGACAAGCGTGGTCAAATTGAGATCCTCTTTGGCAAACCGGCGATCTCTCGCCAATCCTCTGCGGTGAGGTCGATTACGGCAGAGGGATGGATTCCGGGAATTTCTACCAACGGAAAGAAAAATCCGATGCTTCATTTTATCCGAAACTCCTTCCAAAAAGTCGGCGCCGCGGTTATTTACCCGGAAAAAACGAACGCACGCTTTTTCTATGCTGCTTGCCGAAGCTCATGGTTGGTTCTCTTCGTTTTCAGACATATTTCTTCACTGACGCAGAAGATGCCGAAGTCTCGCGTGCCAGCGGTCAGTACTTACAGCGCTGTCGATAGATAGATAAATAGATGGATCGAAGAAGAAATGGGAGAGACCGACAGAGAAACACAACGCTAGTCGAACACAACGACCGATACAAGCGCATACAGAGAGCCGATCCCATGTATTTTTCTGGTCGTGGTGGTCGTCCACAGAATATCCGATACGTCGGTCGGTCCGAATCATTGAATGCAGACCATCGCAACTCGCAACGAGAGCCGAAAATAATGTTACGATTAAATTCGGGACGAACAAGCCCGGAATCATCAATAAATATCTGCTTATCCAGGTGGTCATCTCGTGATGACGGGCTGCGCATCAGGACACACTCGTCAGGCGCTCAGCTGTAAAATGAATTCCGAATTCGATGCCTTCGTTCTCAGTGCCAAAGAGTGAGTCTCAACTCCATTCCTTCTCGTCTAGAGCTAGCAGGTCGGTTTCCGGTGGTCTCATCTCGAAGAAGGGCCATGGCTCCAAAGCCAGTCTCCCTGCAAAAAAAAGCGCTCCACCGCAGATCGGATCCGACATTGTAAAGGGTTCCAGGGCGAAGCAAACGGGATATTTTTCCTAATGCAAGCCGCGATGCGTTCACATATTCAATTCCTGATTCGCCGATTCTTCGCGACCATTACGTGGAGAGATGGGTCACTCTGACACTGGGTTTATCTTCTTCTGAATTTGTGTAGGATCTTGGAGTTTCACTCCTCTTCGTCCTCGAGCTAGACGGCAGCCCCTGTGAGATGCCTTTCTGGATTTGTCTGACTGAGAATTCTGTCTATTAAAATTGTTCAGGTGGTGGTGCCATTTCGACGACGACAATTACGTGAATGTAGTTTCCCTGGAGAAAACGCTCAAATCCTTCAACTCTTCCGAGCTCTGGTATTTGGGCAGGGACTCGATACGACCGACGATTGATCTGACCACGAAACAGTGGGTGAGTAATTTCTGTTTTGCGTCGATTATTATCAGCGTACTCGAGAATGTCCAGCTCGCTTCTCGTCCGACCAACGCCATTATCGATTCTCTCTCGAAAATCCCGGATCACACAGCAGATGAATTCATACTTACATTAGACAAGATCTGCATCAACATTACACCGTCATGGATGTCCTCAGCCATTCGCTGGAGCCTATGACCGCAGCTTATGAACTCCTACTAGCCGCCTTCTGGGATGGGGAGCTCGACTGCAGCATGAAGCCGATCCCGGAGAAACCCTTGGAAGTCACGACGCAGCCTTGTTTCTTTCGCGTTCGATGCTGTGAGCTTTACCATCCGGCTCATTCTCTGAAAGGGCTTCTTGTTTTTCCAGGGCGACGTTCGATTCCGGTTCGCAACCGGAGGAGCAGGATTCTGCATCAGCAGGGCGCTGGCCAACGAGATGAAGCCACACGCATTGTAAGTTACCATAATTTCTGGCCGAAGCTACCGGTTTTCTATTCTGTTTCGTGAGAAGCGAGCTCTCTCCTCCGATCTCTTCCGCACCCTAATCGTGACGAGCGTTGCTGGGGAATCTCACGCGAATCACTTCTGTGTTATCTTCTGATGAATTAGCTTCTGATTCCTGATCCATGACACGCGCTGGTTTTTCCCATTGAAATCTTGTCGGAAATGTCGGCGGAGGGTCATGAGTTGGGCTCAACTTTCATCGCGGCTTTTCAGGCGGGAATTCGCGGCATCTGTCGCGGCATCCGCGGCTCTCGTAGACCCTCTATAGAAAACGCCCGGTATTGCAAAGGGAAATCGCGGTCACGGTCGCGGACCACGACGAAACTCGAGCCCTTATCATGAGTCATGAAAACCCCTGCCTGGTGTCCGTACTTCCGGATCGATGAGTGACCGATCCGAAAGCGTTTCCGATTGGTAGTCGAGAAGGAGGATGATCTTCAGGAGCGAGCTTTCCTCGGATTTCATGGTCTGAGTGGCGTATGAAATCTCCGTCCGAGAAATCCCATCAAGATGGTGGAATATTATTTTCCGAAAATTTCTGCGGATCCTTGATATCCTTGCCCGTGGAGACGTGAACCCATCTGCATCTCCGTTACAAACTGCCTATTTATATGCCGAAGCGTGCGCATCTCGGCGCTGACTGAGACCGATGAAGACATTTGGAAAGGGTGAAGCGACTCGATAGCAACAGTTACCGAGCCGAGACAGAAAACGGGAGGTTTCCACGCCTGATTCCGAGGTGACATTCCACAGTTGTCTCCAAAGATTCCGCTCGTGCAGTCTTCCTATCTGAGTCGACATTTCGATTCGAAGATTCGATTCAATTAGGCGTCTGAGGTTCCTTTATAAGCTTGGAGCCGGTTTTTCAGTTTGTCTCCGAACAGATCGCAGTCGCGTGGGCTGGCAGACGTCTCTGTGACCGTCCAACGATGGGGCCCCGAAGAATGTCCAGAAGATCAGTGAAGATCAAACATTACATGAAAAGATGGCCGGGATTATTATTTAGCGCTTGCCGCCGAGCAGAGACCTATTCTTCGCCTCTGAATCCGGCTTTCAGTCCGTGCTCCCCCTTGGAGAATTGTCTTCCCGAGAGGCTCTCGATCAATTTCTTAGCTGCAATTTAAAGCCGCGTTCGGGCTGAAAGACTTCAGTCGATACTTGATACATCTCTGCGCTGGAGAGCCATTTGGAGGAACCCGCACACGCCGTCGGAGGATGAGCGGACCCTCCAAGCGAGATCAATCAACAGATGATTTCTACCGAACATTCTATTGTCCCGGCACGGCATATCGATCTGCTCACAGAGCAAGTTGTTATCCCCATCACAAGACGAACAAGAGTCCGCTGTCGTAGGCGTACCTGAGCTTGGGGGTAGTCCTCGAAACGCGAACGCAATGCCCGTAGGAAATTTGTCCAGCACATTCGAAATCCGCGATCCTTGAGAACAGAGCGCGTGTGCTTTCCTTTCCGCAAAGCATTCGTTCAAACGTCTCGTGTGGTTGAGTTGTAAACCGCTGTATCCGCTCAACGTCGAATCACAGCATACTCTTCTACTGTTTCAGCAAAGGTCGTCTGAGGGAGCTTTCGGAAGAAATCCGGCTGCCTGATGACGTCACCGTGGGCTTCTTGGTAGAGGTGAGTTCGACTGCTCTCCAGGACAGCTCTCGTTCCCTGATCGCAAACTCATGGTCTCTTTAAATTCCCATCACGGTTCGAGAAAGCCTTCTATAGCTCGACGAACTTCTTAATGGGCGCAAGACGTCGTCTGGGAACATACTCAGAGCTCTTCCCGGGAGCATTTCGGGATCGCCTAACTCACGAATGTTGTGTGTTCCTGCTTCAGGTCATCGTCGGAGCCAAACTGACCGCTCTGCCGAATTTCCACTCTCATCTCGAAGAAATGCTTCTCATTCGGAAGCCTCTACGAAACCAAATTAGCTTGAGCTACAACTCGAAAAGGAAGAACTTCGTGCCCGTCGAACAGCTCTTGCCAAGAGATCCGACCAGGTAAGCTACGGAAAATCCCCAGCCATATTGGCTGACGGAGCCTTTGCTTCTCGTACCTCGTGAAGTGGAGGGGAGGCGGTGTCACAGCCCGCTGAAAAAATATTTTGCAGGTTCCTGTCGATACACTGCGAGATATTCCGCGAGCTTCCCACGTGCAAACGCTTCCGGAGGCGGCGGTAGCTCATCAAGGGAGTTTCTCATTCGGGCGAAGAACTATTCGGTCCCCTATCAGACGAGGGCTTCGGACCTCGCAACGGGTTCTCGTTCCGAAATCGACCGGGAAGTCGAGGACTCTCTCCTCCAGAGCTGAACGATCCTCGCCCCCAACGATTTGTGATTTGTGAAACTAGATCGCAAGTCGCGTGTAAAGCTTTCGGAAAGATGTCGATGTATATATCTCCCAGAGTTCAATTGTCATTGATGGCTGTTCTCTCTGAATCGACGCGCGAATTTTGTGAATAAAGAACACTGTGATATCGGAGCGGCACGCTTGCTTTCAAGCCGATGAGCGATAGCATCGAGCCATGAGCGAGACTCATTGTTGGATGGATGAGGAATCCATGGAGGGAGGAACAATAAGAAGAATGCCAGATCGATTCACCGAAAGCTCTAAATTACGTCTTCCGATCATGAAAGATTTCCTGATCCATTCCTCCGTGAGTTCAGTCTCTGCAAAGTTAGAGGTTATGTACTTGCGCCGCGGCTCATATCTCCCCGCAGATAGAAGGGAAATTTCCAGTGTGATTCGGCGCACCGATCCCACGAGAGTTCCGGGGGACGTGTGATCCGATAAAATTTATTTAGGTAGGTACATAATCATTGAGGAAATTCCTATCACATTGTAGCATTCTCGTCGCACAGTGGGATACGGAGGCATTATTACAGACGCAATCACAGTACTTGTATTCATCTCTCATTTTTTCTTCGTATTATGGCTTTCAAGTCGATGTCTGGAAGCATCCCGCAGGAGGATGCATTTGAAGGGACAGACTTCGCATCGATACGGGAAGTACTGCACAACTCTCCTGGAAAAACCGAACGAGGTGCTGCTGTTCGAGTCGCGGAAGTGCAAGTGCTATGCCCGGTAGCCGGGAAAATTCGGAAAACGTTCTTCGATCGCCCTCCACAAGACTGGGGGAACTCACCCGATATGTTCCTTCAGGTTCGAGAAGTCATTAAAACATCGCGAGCAATGCGAGCAGAAAACTGTATCTTGAGCACTGTTGAATCGGCAAACGCTTAGTCCCACCATGAATCTCATGATGTTATCCAAACAAATCGTAAAATGTCTCAAGGGTCCAGGTAGCTCCGCCACTTTTCCCGGGAACAACACACACAGGGTGGGAAGATCAGTCGCCCTGAAAAAAAATCATGGATCCGCTGAGATGCAAGGGTGATGGATGAGGAAGAAGAGTATCAGTGTATCAAGATTGTCTGAGATTACGAACATCAATTATAAATGACTCCGAGAAAGAATGGAGTCCTCGCTGACCTTCCAGGGGAACACTCCTCGTACCAACCTCGAATCGAAAGAATCGGAAGGGATCCCTCCTGCCGTTGCTCCCATCGAGAAACTTCCGTCCGTTCCGGATGAGTTTCTCCTCCCGGGTTGAGGACCCGAAGTGCCGTCAGTGCCTTCTGTATTCCCTCCTGAAATTCATGGAACGGGATGAGAAAGATCCTCCGTTGCCGGGAAAGATGCTCGACGTCATGGAGCTCGACAGACTTTTCAGCATCGGAGTTGCCGATTTCGGGGCACAAGGTTTGAAATTAGGGAGATACGGTCTCATAGCACTAACCGGGATGATGATTCTCCGGGACAAGGTCTGCGATATCCTGCGGAGCAATGGGCGCAGTGTACGCCTGCATGAGTGTGTCGTTGCCGGATGCTCTGGTCCGCCCGGAGTGCAGCGTCACTGTTGAGTCCGATTCACTAAAATCTGCAGCATTGGCACTCGCGGGCGCCTTGCTCCTATCGGTCTCGTTGTCCACGGGAGGGCGCAGGCCTGGTCGGCTGTCCTCAAGAACGGCACGGTCGCGGAACTCTCGAGGTTTCATCCGTGCCATCGCTGCATCAGATTTGTTCTCCTTATGCTGCCGAGCGTTTTCCCGTAATCCTGATTGCGAATCAGATCCACCCGCGGCAGTTGCTTCGATCGAAGACGGCGGCGTACTTCGCTCCAACAATCTCTCCAGGGTAGGCATGTCGAGGCTTCGACTCCCGTCTTGAGCGATTCCGCCAGATTGTCGGGGAATTTCTCGCGATCCCTCCAACGGGAGTACTCCACCCCAAACGAAAGTTCGTCGTGATCGAAGCAAACTGTCTCGTGATCGCCTTTCAGCATCGATCCGCGCGATCTGGATCCGCTCCCCATCGCTTCCACCGCCCAAGCAGGGAGGTTCCGTGAGATCAATCACTTCGATGGGGTTCAGTGCACTGCCCTCGCCCCTGGTAGTTGGCGTCGCAACACGGGTTCTAGTGGGAACGTCTACGACGAGGTGATTCTGTTCGAGAAAAGCGGCATGTTCGGGCGGTTCCGGTGTTGCCATCGAGGCTGCTAAACTGACCCCGAGATGAGCTTCAGGACGGAAATCGAACACATCACCCAATCCACTCACCCGTAACATTCGAGAGCTCGAGCCGAGCGACAGATCCGGGGACGCGACAGTGAAGTTCGCTGGCGTGTTCGGCGCTTGCCTCATCTGTGTCGGACTGAGAAGTCCGAAGTTTGATTCAGCCCCCCTCGGGGCTCCGGGTGGAAAATTCACCATCGAAGACCGGTTCTCTGAGAACGCCGGGTTCCATATGCACGCTCTGCCATTGTTGGGGCGGCTGAGATCTTGCATGTGCGCGTGAGCGAAGTTTCCTCCACGAGATCGATACTCCCTGTTCTCATAGCCCCCGGCGAAACTGGGGGGCGTGTTGTTGTACATGGGCATATTCAACATGCCGCCCATGAAAGGATCTTCGTAGTTCTGCAGAAATGGCGCTTCGTGGTGATCTCGCCCCCCGAGCAGGGCGGTGATTTCAGGGAATGAATTATTATTCGTTCTCCTTCCCTTAGCTGGGAAGCGGTTCTCGCCGAGATACGACGCCTCATCATTGAACTTATGCTTCCGAGTTTGATGGACTTTCAATCCTGCCTTGTTTTTCGTCGAGAACGAGCAAGCATTGCACGAGTAATTTGAGCAAAAATCCACGTCGACACTAGGAGGGCTGAGTTTCGTATCGTGCACGAGAAATCTGGAAAGGGGAATTCCGTAGCGGAATCGTCGTCTCCCGATTTTCACCTGATTGGGACAAGAATACTCAGAATAAAAGACTTCGCTCGATGGCTCGGACTTACGTGTCGTTTTCTCCCCCGAAAAGATACATGGCGTTCGGCTTCCGAGAGCGCAAAGTATGTTCTAGAGAGGCGCCTTTCGGGAGCACGGGTATCCTTCAACTATGTTTTCACTCTTTGTGGGTAGACCGATAAGGGGCTGCCGCGTCTCTAAAACGGAAACACACAACACTTTCATTTCTGAGTCAGAACACAAACACCGCGCGGAGAGCGCTGTATGATCCTCCATGGGAAAGGAAATCGAATGGAACTTGTCTCGCGCCCTTGGAGCTGCCCGATGTTGGCTAAGGTTCTCGATCCACGGATCGATAGGGAGATTGTGATGATTGCGCGCCGCCCATGAGGAAATTCTATGCAAGCGAGCCACAATGGGGAGCTGAGGCTCGACGATTTTCCCGGATCCGAACACTCCCGATAATGAAGATAAATCAGGGTCGTATAAATCAAATAGGTTCAGATTCAATCGGCACGGACTGAACTGAGCGGAATCAGAGTCCAGAGGTCGGTTCGATTCTTCGGCGTGCCGAACGGCGCTTTGATCCCCTCTCACACATGTGGTATTGAGTCGCGCATTCGATCTCGCATTCGAGCGCGGGGATCCCGGCCGGAGTTCATGTCATGGGGGAACCCTGCTGTTTCCATCCGCAAGGTCTCATCAAGCTCGATTGAACGCAGTGAGGAAACTCCGGTCCGGCTCCAGCGAGAAAGTTCCCCCTCTTGAAAAACAGCGCGGCATCATCATCATATGCCATGTATCGATTAACGATGATCTTGGCAAGCTCACAGAAAATCGTCCCACAGACCCTACATCAATATCATCGGAAGGCTCTCGGGATAGATAAGGGAGAACACATTACGTTCACTACAACCTGATCGAGCCGTGAGATCGTAGGAACTAGGCAAATGATAGAACGTTTCTCGAGGTTTTGGCACTGTTTCGGCTAATATGACGCCTCGTTGTGTCCCTGCAGTCGCATCCGCCAGTTTGAGCAGGCTATTTCGAGAAATATTCGACACAGGCGGGAACAATGCGCTTAATTGAAGGCCGTCTTCGAATTCAAGGACACTCTCTAGCGATTCCGAAGTCCATGCGAAGCTAGACGTTCGCCTCAGCTCACTGACCTTTACTCTGAAGATGTTGCTCGATCCACGGCAGCTCGAAATCTCTCAAGATCGGCAGAGGATAAATGATTGAACCGATCTCAGAGGGATATCTGAACGTCAGTTCCGAATGCTGTAGGCTCCAAGCGGTTTGGCTGCACTGAGACGACACGAGACTTTGTTCTTGAAAGCGGATACAGCATGAAACCGATGCGGTCTTAGCTTAGTCAGAACGGAAACCAATCTTCTCGGGTATTCCATGATGCGGGGTTCGAGAGAGGAATGATTTCATGCGTATTTCAGAATCATGGGAGGAGCGAGGGCACTCCGATCAGCTCTCGCCCTCCTCGAGTGGAGATTGTTAGAAAAAATTTCCGGTCAGAAGTTCATTGTGGTTTAAGAAGGGCTGTGACGTGACTCCCGAGCGCTGGCTCTGCCCTCCAGCAATCGCCATAAATTCGTCGTTCGTAAGTGTGCGACCTCAGACTGCTGAGGAGGCACGTTTTGATGCTCGGGAGACAGTCCACGGCCGTCGGAGGATACTACTCGAGGTGTCAAATCAGGAAAAAATGTATTCCAACGGACTATGGTCCCCGAACGAAAGGAGTGTCTATGCTCAAAGAGACAATGTTTCGACGAATTTCCAGACAGCTATTCTCGGATTTCACAAGGCCTCCCGTTGTGCGAGTGTTTTGGGTTTTCGTCGATCTGTCTCGAGACCTAGTCGAAGATCGAGCGGATAAAGATCGGTGTTTTTTCGAGATATGTTGCCTTCTCCACGAGAAGTCCGATTCGAAACAAAGGCTTCCTCGCTGTAGGAGGTCGATTACCGCAATACTTGATCCAAGTCGCGTTTAAGGGGTTCGAGCTTTGTCAGTCAGCGGGAGCGGCAGTGAATCTGGAGGAGGGGAATCTATCGAATTCCATGGTTCCTGCACTCTCAAAGTCTTTTCATGCCTGATGAGTTTGAGAAGCCGAGGTTGAGCTCACGAGTTGTGAGCTCCATTCACGAAACCGAATCAATGATCGGGCCGCCCACGCAGCTCGCACGACGGATGCGGGATTCTTCCTTAGAGAGGAGGGTAACTCCTGGCCGACTAGGAATCAGGATGCGAACGCTTCTCCTCGAGGCCTGTTTCTTAGATTTATATCGATACATTAGCATTGTTCAAGCACCGACTTTTCTCGAAAGGGATCAGGGGATGGTGCCCTCAGCTTCCCGTCAGTCTTTCGGTGGATCCGTCACTGCAGTTCCGGGATCGGTTCGATCGGCTCTCGTGTGGAACCAACGCCTCAGAGTTTCCGAGCTCCGCTGATAGATGGCAGAAATTATCCATCCAGTGCTCTTAAACAAGTGTATTCAGAACGATACCCGAAGTTTTTTAAACGCAAACATGATCGCCGGGCGCCTGATTTTTCATTGCAGGGGAAGATTGAATCGTCCCGCTCCGGACCGCGGAAATCGCAGAGAAGGAAGGGAACATCTTCGCTCAGAATTCCGCCTGTTCAGAGTATTATGAGCACCCTAACGCCGCAACATCTTATTTTCCTTCTTCAGAGACGAGAATGATAAATAAGTCTGCATATATCGTTGGAGCTCCACAGCTCCACCGATTCGAGAGCACTTATCGTGCTTCGACATAAAACACGAGATCGCCATTCCCGGGATTAGTCTAGCAACTCGAGTTTTATTCAAACCGATGACGTCGGACTCGAGGTGCTATCGACGCCTAAAGAAGGTTGAGTCGAGTGTTCGACGTCAGGTTCGACCTTCCTAAGGATCAATGACATTATTGTACAGAGAAGGGTACCGATGAGAAATATGAAACTCAGCACGCTCAAGGGCGTTTTCGGTCTCAAGACCGCGAAATATAATTTACAGCGTCGAGTTATCAACCAGGGTGGCTCGCAGATATTCAGAATTTTCCAAGGACGGAGTATTTCGTCCACACCTCCGCGGTCAGGACTCCCACACCCGTTGTCGTTCGGCGAGAATTCGTCTTCCACCGACTGTACCTGTGTTCTTGAGAGATCGAAGCTCACACTCGGGGTTGATGTTTTCCCGATGAGCATAGATCTCAGCGGTTTCCATACTCCGTGAATGTCAGCCTCTCGAGAAGACGCTTCACTTTTCATGTATGGAACGATCTGATATCCGATACGTCTGAAGTCGATCGACGACTTCAGTCCGAGATCTACAGAGTGCTCTCGTCAAGCGCGTCCCAGGGAGAGGCCATCGTGCCACGACATAGTTAGCACCGAAGCAAAGCTCGGCAAGGCACTTCCCGCATTCTTCAGATGAGATCAGACGTTGGACTCGAAGCTGGCAGAGAACATCACGCTTGTCGCGGCAGGTAGGGGGTAGGGGGATGTAAGAGAAAGCTCCCCTTCCCTCATGGATCGACCTATTGCAGGAGAAGCGAGTACCTCTGAAGGAATCGTTCGCTTCATTGTTCATGGGGAAATAGTTCCCGGAGGCATGAAACGAATGAGAGTTTCTCAGTCCGCCCCATCTTGGATGGATATCTTCGTTCGATTCGGTACAGACGGTATTCAGTAATCAGCTCGACCCGGAGTGCTCCGATTACGATGACACAGATAGCTCCTCGTCGCTGGGGACGGCCGCTGCAGTAGGTGAATTGCGCAGAAGTGCAGAAGTGAAGACACCGCAAACAGAGCTGATCTGACCTCTCCTAAGAGCTCTCGTGTACCATTCATTTCTCCTACTGTTTTCTTCCTCATTACCCCCGACCGGCCTCTCAAGTCTCAATTATTCCTCATCGACCACTCAAGATTGAGCAAACTGTCGGAGCCCGTATCGCCGTGTCGGGGATGAGCCGTGTCGGAGTTATCCCAACAATTACATATTAGGCTAGAGGCGAACTGATCACATTCAAATCCGACCGCGAAAGCGCCAAGTCAGAAGCAGACCTCTGAATATTGGGGAACGGAACCAAGGCCAAGAACGATACCGCCCGGCTCCCGCGAAGGCTAATGGCGAAAGGACCTCGGCATCCAACTCTCAGGGAAGAGGTAAGCCGCAAGAACTTCGGAGCGAAGTTGGAGAAGGCGAAGACGGCTTCCTATCAAAAAAGCGAAGCTCATCGTCAGATGTTGGACCGTGATTCCGACAAGGGAAAGCGTCTCTTCCGAGGTAGCCTATCGTCCGCTCCGTTCTCTGTCAGGACACCCATCTCGACATCGAATAATTTCTTCCGAGGAGACGTGCATCGTGCTATCTTCTCCGAGGAGTTTTGATGAAATCTCATGAGGAGAAAATCCACATGGAGGCCCTTTATCGCGCATTGGCGTTTCGAAGCGAACTTATGTTTGGAAGAGGAGGACCATGTTCCGAAAATGAAAACTCCTCGCTCTCAGAGGAAAGATACTCATCGGTATCCAGGGGGTCTCCGGAATCCCCAATCCCCCACTTTCCAATCTCCGAAGATACATTGTAGGTCGTCGAGGGCTCGGATGAGGGAGTTCGAAGTTTCGGGGACGGTCGAGTAACCAATTCGAATACCGAGACTGTGGATCTCTCAGAGGAGCCCGAGAAATAAGCTTCGCAGAGCTTGAAGCCCTCCTCAGGACAGAAGCGAAAGGAAATGTAAGGCAGCGGCGTCACAGCTGCCGCAATCACGACTTCGACAATCGATTTTTTTGACAGAGGAGTCTCGGAGAGCGTTCCAAGCCGGCGCGACGCCAAGGAAATACTGTCTCTAGGGTATATGATTGGTTCTGAAATACTCTTCCAAGAATCGGAGCTTGGAGCTTGAATCTTCGAGGTTTTTGCATTAACGGGACGGTTCCCTTCCATACGCGAGCACAGCACTTCTTAACCTCTCATGAGTTCTGCTTATGTTCTTGGAGACATCTGAACATTCCGAAGAGATTCCCATGCTCCTTCCAAAACGCGGCATTGATGGCTTGATGCAATCCCCCCAAATGGTTGATTGTGCGTGCGCCGGAATTCCCAGACTTATGCCAAAGAATTTCTAGAACCGGGAGGGCCCGAAAGTCTGGGCTCGGCGCCTCTGCAATAACCTCTAACCAAGACACGTCAAAGCTGATTTTGTCCCCTGAGGAACTCACCTAACGGCTCTGTACATCGTGACACCACACGTCTCTTCCTCGCGCTTGCAAGTCCTGTCAAGCTTCCTGCTGAGTTCCCCAATATTTTCACCGCTCTTCTATGCGAGGCTTTTGACATTTGATTGAATTTACTAAGCTTCAAAGCGATGGCTTCCCGTGTCGTCATCTCCGCATAATCTGCGCTCATCAGCGCTTTAGGATCGGGGCTCTTCTCATATTGGATATTTTATTATGATCGAAGTGATTCCCATGTGCGCGCTTATTACTGCCGTCCTTGCCTTCTTGATATCGAGTTGCAGTGTGCAGCGAAGTCTCGGTGTCAGAGTCATTCCCAGGTAAATTGAAGTTGTCGACAAGTTTCGTTTTGCTTGCTGTCACGTTTACATCTCTGTGTCGTTCCCCGATGGCTCAATTGCTGGATCTAATTATTTTTCTCTTGCCGGCATTCATCCCGAAAGCTAACTGGGCGATGCAGGCCTCTGTCACTCTCAAGTATCACAGGGGTCGAGGGAGCTCTTTCTGGACTTATCCGACCTCTCGAGAACCTCGTACCTCTTGCATACCTCTCGGTGATCTTCCTCGTTCCCGCCGTTCAGCCTCTCGAATCCTTATCGACCACTCAAGATTAAGAGAGGAGCTCTGTCGGAGTTCCTCTTAGAACTTTAAACAAAGAGGCGAGAGCCAAACTGATCACATTCAAGAGCTACTCATGCCCCAAGCGCTTTTCTCGATCACGAGTCCCCGTCCTGAGCTCAGCCTGCTTCCGTGCGAAAGGATCTCCATTCGGTCAAGATTGTCCACCAAAGGCGACTATGCTCTTCACTGCGACACTACTCTGGACCTGTGCTCTAGTTTTTGCGAACCCCGCTGATGACTTGGTTGACGATGTGTTGCTTGGAATCAAACCAAAGGTGACGGTGCCGCTGTTCACAAAACCCCGTAGTTTTGGTGCTAATGATTTATTGCGTAATTCCTCCGAATTTGAATAGGAGGCTAATGAGCACAAGAGATTCACGGAGCAGGTCCATACTTCCAGATTATCCTCGCGGGTTTGGAGCCTGCCTTCCTGGATCGTTTCCAGATCCAAATCAACAGCACTTGTGAGGAGACGGTTTCAATGAGGGGAATAGTGATTCAGGCAGAGCACGCAATATGAAGAGGCTCCGATATGGGTCGAAGCTTTCTTGGGGATTCTAGGGGGCAAATGAAACTCCAGCAAATGCCCGAGTCCATCAGAACGAGATCGGATTCCGTTGCAGGGCTCCCGAAATTCGTCGCGGATTTCAAGAATTCCTCAGTCTCCGGACTATCACTCCTGCGTCGGAAAGAGCCTTGTGAATTCAAGAACTCAACGTATGCGAGAGCTTATTGCGTACTCACCACTTGTGACCTGGAGGCATCGCTCAGAGCTAGCGTGAAGGTGAGTCTTACCCTCGAGTGTTCTGAATTCTGAACACGTATATATTTCTCGTCGGAGCGTTCGATTAATTTGACTCTAAGTCTTCTGCTCCGAATCTTCGAATATTGAGCCTCGCTTATACATTAGACGTTTCGGGATCCTTAGGGAGATCGGCTGTCCAGAAGTCTTCATGACATCGTTGTAAACGTGACCTTCGTGCTGCCTAAAATCGGTGTCGCAATGGAAGGCGACCACGGTAGACAGACCCGTCTCCTCGGCACTTTCATTGACGACGTGATCCCGCTTGTCGCCGTGGAGGGGCAGCTCGATCTCAACAAGAATCGGTTCGTCGGGATATCGAGTCGCTTCCGATCTCCAGCTCCTCTATCCATGAGAGTAACTGACTCATTTTCCCACTCAACACAGGAAGAAGGAGTTCTTGAGAAGCCTGCAGACGCAAGTGAGGATACGGCTCAACGACATTCTCTGGAATCGATACGGCAGAGTGTTCCGCGACGAACTTCAGCGTTTGAACTCTACCCTCGATGGATCCCGGCAAACATCCGAAGCGCGAGACGAATCCTGAAGCATCTTCCATTGATCTCAAGAGCGCCCGAGCCCGAGAGGGGGAATAGCATTGAAATATACGCAAACGTGTGAGAATCCTCCGAAATGTAGAGTCCATCAATCCATGCATCCATTCATCCGTCGATAGCCACCGATTGATAGAAGCAGAGATTTCTTAAGGCGATAACAGGCAGTACTTCAAGAAAAAAATCCGGAACCACTACGTTCCCGAGGAAGTGCATCTTATTGTCTCTAGCCCAACTGCGGCTCCTCTGAGAGTCGGAGGATCCGGCGCTGCAGACTCTGTGGAGTTCCAGGGGAATTGAGGAAAAGCACCGAGTGCATGTCAATGCGAAATCATTTTATTCCGAAACCACGTCATGGCTCAAGGGAAGGGACGGTTGCTGATGAGGGTGCTCAGCACATTGGCGAAGGGTCCGCGCATAGCAGATGAAATCTGAGTAGCGAGGGCCGCATTCAATTGTCTAACAAAGTCGGAGATTCTGTAAAAAGAGATATTGGGGATTTCAGACCGAGGACAAGCTATCTGGGAAGTCTTTCCGTGAGCCATTGCATTCCGACTCGTTTCCTCGCCGCAGCGACAGACCTGGCCGAGTTGAGATCGAGTTTTCCCTGAGTCACGGAAGACGTCATGGTGAGCGGAGAGAGGCTGACATTCGATAGTCTTCCGATGGAGCCGGGCCTTCCTTGGACCTCAATGAGAGCGTACGAGCTGTCCTCCACGAGAGTCGTGGTAGATATGGAGTGCGTGTTCGCGATGAGGGAATCTCCCTGGGGTAGGGGGCTAAGATGTCAATCCGGTCCCGCTTTCAGACTGCCGCTAGCAGAGAGGTACGAGCACAATTTCGATACCTTCATAGACTATAGACTTCATAAATTTCAGTCGAGACTATCACCTTAACGTCAGCGTTGAGGAGAACACGTACAGCACCCAAACTGACATAACATCCGAGCTTATATTCCCCCGCAGCAATACCGTACGTGCAGTGGCCTCTTCGGAGGACTGACCCCAATCCGATAATCGAGCCCTGTGTAACGTTGACCTTCAGATCACGATTCAGCAGACCTGAAGATGGCACTCATTCATTGAGATTCTCGTTCTTCTGGTACAATCGTGTCCAAAGTTCTCGAGCGACGTACTCACCGTTCCCTTTCACTTTGAACTGGAAGGGGTACGCTCTTGAGGGGTCCAAGCCGCTGCCGGCCGCCTGTAAGCGGTCAGACGACGATGAACAATTATTTCATTCAGGAAATGGTGCATCTCGTATTTTCGTCTTGAAATCCGATCGAAGCTCTAGAATCTAGAATTCACCTGTAGTGGAAGATCTCGGAGGATACTATCTATGTACTGGTCGGCGTTGAAAGCGCCGAATGCACTCGAGGCAAGCGCCGCACATAGAACGACGGGAACGAGCATTCTGATCTGCAATTACGGAGTCGAGAGTCAGTCACGATTTAAAGTTTATCCGGTGGGTCCCACTTGAGCAAGGCGTCACGAATGCATCCGTGAGAAATGCCACTTCGCGCTCGTGGACGTGGAACAGATTGGTATTCTAAAAGCCGAGGTATAGCTCAGTGTTCACGGAACGGCGTTTCGATTCTGAGTCCACTCCTTTCCCGGGGAAAAATGAAAGTCGAAACTCCTCCAGAGACGCCATACCTGTTTTTGGAACCGAACTCTCTTCTCCCAACTTCCCGGAGAGCTCTTTTATAGGCGCCATGGTCCCTAGCTGCCACCGTAATTCACGGATTGCGAACCTGACTGTTACGGTTAGCGACGAAATCGTTGAAAGATTTATGGATTTACGACCGCTGCGTCTTGCAGTTTCCGCAGCAGTAGATGTGAGTCATATTTGCTAATCTCGTGAGGGCGAGCCGAGAAGGAACCGCGCCTCACAATTCCTTGTCAGCCGTTCTACAATCCGTAACTCACGGAACCCTAGCGAGCCCTCCGGGTCTATATGTGCTTAGATCCAGGGAGTCATTTTCATTCATTTCGAAGAATGTCGGCAGAGCACGAGCGAGGAAGAATGATTCGCTGCAGGAGCACTTGGACATGATCAGGGTGATCAGAGGATCGAGAGCGTGCAAATGAGGTGCATTCCCTCCAGCCTTAGAAGCTCATCTACTCCTGGAGCTCGCGAGTCAGCATCGTCTGAGAGTCATGTTGTCATTCATGGTCTCTTGACCGCCCGAGTCTTCGAAACTATGAGGACCGCTCGCTTTGCATTATCCGATGAGCCGATAGCTCCGAGATCGAACGCAGAGCTCTCCAGAATATCTTCAAATGATATTACGACTGCTCCGGCGACAATCGCACGATTCGAATGACGGCGCGGCAGCCTACCGAGCGAGCTTCCCTGAACCCCTACGAAGGCTCGAATCGTCTCGGGACCATGATCGGGGTGATCAGAGGATCGAGGATTCCAAAAGATTTCATTCCTGCCAGCCTCAGGAGCTCATCGTCTTCCAGAGCTTGCGTGTCAGCATCGAATAAGTTTCGTGTTCCTTCCCATTCTTTCATGTTCCGTCGCATTCTATCATGTTCCTACGCACTCCGGGCGCGAGGCGCCCTCGTGGCTAGTTTCATATAAAGTTCCAGAGCCCCTGCCGAGCTCCGTTGGACGAATGCGGGGAGGAACTCTCTAGGATCGGTACCGGAGGCGGTCTCCATCGGAGCATGTTCCCGTCATTCGTGAGCTCGGGTTCCAAACTCCGGGCTAATCATCCTCTCCTACCCAAGATTCTCGCCGTGTCTGTATACGGTGATCACGAGCGAGTCGATGGAGTGCCTTGGTGCTCTTCTGCCGATCGCGGACCGTGCTTCCATTTCCTCTCCGGTTTGGGTCCTCTCCAGCGCCGGATCTTACCGCTGTCCGGTGTTCCATGCTATCTGCGCCTCCTGCTACGGACAGAGTCCACTCAGAGCTTGGAGCACAGTGACATCGATGGAGGAACTCCGGCTCGAAAGCTTTTCCGAGGTTCCAATTGATTCTTCCGAAAAGCGTCGGTGTGACGAGAATGGCGTGACTCTTCAATGAGACATCTCAGACCTTCAGGGATCCACATCAGCGTCAAATCCTCGAGTGGCGAGCACGGCCTCTCAAAAATACGATCATAAATCTATCTCTCGGAGAAAAGGCTGAGCCCTCGTCTTCCGTCCCTTGACTCCGTCGAACCGGGGGATCTCCAACGCGGGAAGTCGATGGGGGACCCGCAGACAGAGCCCGCGGGAGTTGAGCCGTCACGACGGAGAGACTCATGGAAGAACATGGAAAGTATCCCCGCTCAGTGGCGGAATCAGTCATCTGATCGAATCCTCGGAATTCATGCTCTCCATGACCGGGAAGACCGGATCAGGATGATATTTGAGGGAGTTTCGGAGCTCATGAAGGTCAGCGAGGGAACTCGATCTGAACTCCCTGATAGACTGCCGCGAACCCTATCGGATCTCCGGCTCGCCCCCCTTGCCCTCATCAGCGTGATTCGGGACTGGCCATGTTTGCGACAGAATGACGCGGAGCTGAGAACGACGCCAGTCCGAAATACCGTTGCGAGGATGTCGCAGACTCGAAATGACGCGAAGCCCGAGACAACGCGAGTCCGATTCGCCGCGGCGAAAATGACGAAGACTCAGAGGACGCGAAGCCGATGGACGTGGTTCGAAGCGACGCGAGTCGTTGGACCAAGCCCATAACGACGCGATTCCGCAATCAAGCGAGCCCAGAATAAGCGAACGCGTACTTACTCGGACTAGAGCGCTCACATCGCTCCTAAGCCTTACACTAGGCTTACAAAAACCGGCGCTTCAGCGCGGAAGTTTGAAACAGGGATCATTCGACCTTTCTCGGCTCTTTCTCCCCACCACTTTTCGCACAAACGTGCTTCGGCGGTTGCGGAATCATGCCCCGGTGTGCAAGTGAATGTTTTCTTTCTCATCTTCTACCCCTCCGCCCAGTGATTGTCGAAACCCTCCTTCTTGACCACGAAGCTTATGTAGTACCATGTGGTACTAAGGTACGCTGTCCTTCTACTGTGGTTCGAAAGGCACGGATTCGAATTCTGTCGACTCGCTGAAATTCTGTCGAGCGGATATCGTTCTCTTGATCCGCGGTGGGTGATGGCGGCCCCCGGCCGCGCTCGACGGCTACTCGTAGGGATAAAAGAGGATGACTAGTCCTTCTGCTTTCAGGCCTAACGCGAATCCACGTGTTCTCTCCGGTTCCTCCTTTTCAAAGCCTCTCATGTGGCTTGAAAACTTTGGATCCGCGACAGTAGGCGGCGGCTTAGTCAGGGGTGGGGGTGGGAAACACTCGTCTGAAACTCCTGTGAATGGATTCGGGAGCTACAACAATCATGAGCATGCGTGGGCAGTGTATCTCCAGAACGACAAAGCCGGGATTCAACTCCAGCTCCGCTCACCTCTCCAATCCATTCAATTTCTCGAGGTTTATAAGATTGGCTGCTCTTCCCGGAACTGAACACAGGGAGTCTTCGACTCGAGTATCCGATTTTGTCGTCTATCACATGATCCGAAGATGCGATTCAGAATCTGTCGAGTGCTGAACGGGAGGAATCTCTGAAAGTGTCTCAGTCTAGAGTCTAGACGACTCATTTGCTGCCGGACTTCCACCTCCTAGGATGAGTTTTTTTGCCTGTGAGTGTCATATATGGCTCGGGACTTTTGCGGATGCAGGGGCTCCCCGATGATTTTCCCGAGAGCATTGGGGTGGCGAAAACTACTCTCATGAGCGGAGCCTATCGAGTTCAACGCGTTCTACAAGAACCCGTAAATCTCCTCACTCAAAGAAGTAGGGCTGCGGTCCATGAATAACGGTCCCTTAACAACGCACCTGACCGAATCTCTCGCGGAATGCTGCTGTCAACGGTCGCTGTAGCTGTCGTCTAAGTAAGTCTAATTGTAAGGGGACCAATCGGACCGAACATCCTGCTGATGTAGCGTAGGACCCAGTGTGTGGAAGGGACGGATCTTGAAAGTGACACATTTTCAACAGAATCGAGAGACGTGGACGATCCGGCGAAGAGCCAATCAATGTAGTCGCGAGTCTGGACGGCGAATCCTCTGGTGAGGACTTTCGCATTGCCGTGCTTCCAATCAAGTAGGAAAGCGAGTAACTTTCTCGCGTTGCCGCGGAGGGGCGAGCGTGATACTTCGATTCGATAGTCGCAGCTCATCATGTACCTAGGAGGGAAATGGGTCGGTATATGGACGGTGGACAGAACACTCACGACTGCAAGGGAATGAGGGAAAGTAATTATAGTAAAAGCTCGGTACTACGAACACGAAGGGACCGACGAAACTGGTTCGTTGTACCGAGTTTCGCTGTAACGAATGCCGCTCAACACTATCCCTATGGCGAGCTGGCCAGAAGAGGAGAAATTCCTTGTTCGTTGTACCGAGAAATTCGTTGTAATGGGGGTCGTTGTAAGGAGCTTTTACTGTAGTGTGTTTCGGTTTCAAGAATGAAGAAATATGCATTCCTTGTCAAGAGTCATCCGCGGATGGCGGATGGCGGCCGAGTAGACCGACCGTGATGGATTGCATAAAAGCAGTGAGAAAATGTTTGTGCAGGGGAAAACGATCCGGTACGTCGAAGCCCGCGATGCACGTTTCCCTGAAGAAGGCGCACACCAAGAAATGCAGCAAGCTGATTTTGTTGGCTGTCGACCTCGCTGAAATCGAAGGATCGCTCGACCAAGAACATTTCCATAAGTCTCTGCCGCGAATGTTGGGGGAATGTGAATATTGCAATAATATGTCGCGAATCCAGGACAGATTGAGGCTCCATAAGGCCGTCGAGGAGGTTGAAAGAATCATCAACGGACTCGATATTTCATTCCGAGAATGAAACTCTCATTTCCTGACGGAAACATGCAGTGGTATATTTAGAATTCCTTAGTTACTTCTAAGGGAAGAGCTCCTTGTGTACGATATTGCGCACTTCTGAGGTCGCTCGAGCAATACGTGTAGTCTGAGGATTCATGACTCGTGAGAGCGCCGTGTATAGCTGACCATGTGCGAATACATCCTGTGGTGGTAAAAGGCCCACTTGGGTGAATGTCTGGCCTTGGCTTCATCGCCCTAACGAAAGCCACCCGGAGTGGGAGCGGTTGACGATTCAGCCTGGATGGTGACCCATCCCAATAGAGATTGAGTCGGGGAATCAAAACTCTTGACACCTTCCTGTGCCCAGTTGTGAACAAACACATGACGGTATGAATTCCAAAGGAATCGACACATAATCGTGTGCCGTTGCATGGGCCGTCGTCGATGTCCAAGTTTCGGGTGTCCAAGAATGGGATATTGCTCGTTAGTTCGTTGCAGTCACCGGCAAAACTTTCTGCTCAGCTTGGGGGACGGGAGAGTACGGAAGTGGGGAAATGGGCGTGAAGGAGAAGTGCCAACGACGAGGACGACATGGTCACCTTCCCCACGAGCCTCCTAGGTGCTGCTAACTCAACTCAGACAATCTTCGGCGATCGGATCGACTTCTCAAACATTGACTTTCTTTGTGACACGACCATCTTGGCTTCGAAGAATTCCCATGTCGATTTCATGAACGACGAGGCCCTCAAGAGAATCTACGTCGATGATCCTGCAAAGGAACACTTCTACCGAAGTTGGGACTCTATCGCCGCAGTATGAAGTTGGGAGCACCGCC